TTTTTTTTAGTTAATCATCTATTTATTTATTTATTTTAAGGACCATTTCTGTTGAAGCTTAATGAGAAAGATAATGATTTTAAATATGTTTCGGAACTATTCTTCTCGTCTTGGAAACATTCAGATAAACCTATTCCTAAGATTATTTCAATATGGAAAATATATTGTTCAAAGGATTTAATTTCCCAATACGATCTTTATCGAAAAAAAGTAGGAAATGAACATCAATTATTCCATGGAACGAAGGCGTAAGTTTTAATTTTTTTTAAATAGAAAAAAAAAACCATCTAATTATATATATAATTATATATATATTTTAAGGTCATGCATGATTGGCTTTAAATGCAGCGAAATATGCATCAAAAACACATGTGCAATTTGTTGTATCTTAAAAGAAGGATATAAACTAAATCATGCGAATTGTGGATTATTTGGCAAAGGAATATATTTTTCATCCACATCATCAAAATGTGATAATTTTAGTAGTAATTTATTAGAAAATTACGAAGGAGTAAATTATAAAGTAATGTTATTAAATAATGTGGCTTTAGGTAAGATTTATAGGCCTACTGAAAATGATTTTACGTTAACAAATCCACCACATAAATATGATAGTGTGATTGGAGATCCTAAAATTGTCAAAAATTTAAAAGATTTAAAGCATGATGAAATTATTGTCTATAAAGAAGAAGCATCGATTCCAAAATTTTTAATAGTTTATCAACCAGGTCAGAATTAAATATTAAATCTTTAGAACTATGTAACTTGCAATTTTTAGCTATTACAAAAAACTAGATTAGATGCTTTATTCATAGTAGTAATATCGTGAGTGTCAGTTGGTATAATATATTTTTTTTATGTTATTATGATTTGCTATACTACTAATGTAATTCGATCAATGAGGAAGTAGTTTTTTTTTCAAATTTAGTTTAAACTTGCTACAGTTATTGAGGTATTAGATGTTTGCGCCAAGTCTTCTGAATAATCTAATTTATTTCTTCTATGACAATATTAAAAAAAAAAAAAAAATTTTTTTTTTTAATATTGTTATTCGCTATTCCATTTATGTTGTATCTCG